TTTGCTGAATCTTCCAATGAGGTCTAGTAGCCTTTTTACTGAGTCTTTTGGGTTTTCTATGTATAGGATCATATCATCTGCAAATAGGGAGAGTTTTACTTCCGCTTTGCCAATTTGCATTCCATTTCCTTTTGACACTTCCCAAATTTCCTAGATTCATACTTTGTATATTCCTTGCTCTGATTATTAATAGATGTTTACAGCTGTTTCTTTTCATTTTGAGTTGGGCCCCATCAGCAAATGGAGGTCCTGAGGGCTTTACTCCATTCGCGTCATCATGGTCAACTCTACTTTGAGGAGGCCCCTCTTTCCCAGTTGCATTTTGAGTGCCTTCCAACGTGAGGGTCTCATTTTCCATCACTATATCTGACAATGTTTCACTGCTATTTATATGGTTTTTAGTAACTAAATATTAGGAAGCAATTCATCTCTCCTTCCTCCTAGTCTTTCTGTGTCTGGAAGCTCATCTGAAACCTGTCCACCGTGGGTGACCCTGCTCATATTTAAAATACCCATGGCATAGCTTCTAGAATCAGCAACACATGATAAACCGACAGACGAGTGGTGGGTGAAGCGTCTAGATCCAGGAAAAGACTGATGCCAAGACACAGGGAGATCTCCAAGGAATGCTGGGTCTATAATTGCTGAAAGGAGGCAAGAGCCTTTCTCCAGAGTCAATGTTCTGAGTTCAGACTTCTAGCTTCCTAAACTGTGTAAGAATGCATTTCTGTTTGTTAAAGCCATCCACTTGTGGTATTTCTGATGCAGCAGCACTAGAGAACCAAGACAAGGATTCACTCCATCCCCTAAACAAGGTACCTCTGGGGTGCCTCAGCCTAGGTGAACACTTTTTATGGTTTGCTTCACAGTTTTTATGGATGACTCTCCAGATTATCAAGAGAAGTTCACACTCCTTGTAAAATCAGATACCAAGAATACAAAAATGTAAATAACATTTTTAAAAAAAGCTTTCAGAATATCATGATTGGCATCTCACATTCCAGACTACAAGTAATTTTACAAATACGTGATTATGTTATATATATATTGCCTGGCAAGTCTGCCTAGCATTCAACAGCTGCTAATTGTTATTACTATTACTGTTTATTCCTTTTCAGACTGGGAAGTGACGTTGATTGGCAGGATAATATCAGATTACATTTTTTGAATATTTGCTATGTCCCGCGTGGTATTTTACAGATGAGAAGGCTGAGACTCAGATAAGGTAAGTCACTTGCTCAGGGTCACACAGAAAGGAAGTGTTTCTGACACCTTGGAACCAGAACTGTTCCAGCCCCTGCTAGCTGCCACTTGGCCAAAGAGGGCCCCTGTTCCCTCCTGCCCAGCGGGGCGGAGCCGCAGTCTTTTGCTTATCTCGTCTAGGCTGTGCGCTGGCCCGCCCCCTCGGGGGAGCTGCCACTTGGAGGCCCTGGGCTGGGAAGGGCCTGGTCAGCTGTGTCCGGAGGAGGAAGCTGTTGACCCAGCTGTGGACTGTACCAGGGTGGAGACGGGGTGGGGGCTGGAGCCCTGGACCCCCGTAGTGGGGCCTGCTCCATGGATCCCCTTTGGACACCCCTCTGGCCCGGAGTTGGCTCTCTCTGTCTCCTGCTCGCTGGAGCCACCTGGGCCCCCCTATCCCATTTCTCAGACTCCAAGTTTGAGCATAAAGGTAAGGATGGAGCTGTGTGTGGATCCCCACACTGGGTCCTCGGGGCGGGGGGGTGGGGGGAAGCTGGTGTCAGAACTCCCAGGGTGGCTCCTAGTGGGGCATGCTGGATTCGCAGTCCCACACCGGGTCCTGAAGGGGCACACCGGGTCTCAGTCCCTAGACTGGGTCCTGGAGGGGGCGATAGAGAGGACTTAAGAATCCCTAATTTTATCCTTTCTGGGAGTCTCCGGCAAGATATACCCTAAAGGGGCAGGCGTGGTGTTGGGTTTACAACAGGCAGTCTTGAGTCCCCGAGGGTCCAGGACCAAACTGTCTCAGAGGGAGAAAGAGGATAAAGCCCCCCCGGAGTCTGTAGGGTCGGGCCGCAGGCGGGCGACTGTAAACACACTTGCGTCTGGCGCCAGATCCCTTGCCCCCGCCGGTCCGAGGAAGGGGGCGGGGGGCACGGTTGGCGCTATCAGGCCGCCGGGAGCCTGCGGGGGCCGATAGGGGGCCCCGCCTCCTCCACACACACCCACCAGCACGCGCACGTCCTGGGCGGGGCAGGGTTGGCTGCGGGAGGCCGAGGCCTTTAACTACACTTTGCTCCGCCAGCCTTGAGAGGGCGGTTGTGTGTGCGGAGACAGCAAGGCCGGCAGCCTGCGCTTGAGAAGTGGGGGACACCCCTCTCCACAACCCGCGAGGGCCCCCCGCGGGGGGCGGGGCTTATTCTTATCGGCCTGGACAGACGGCGGGAGGGGAGGGGGCTGTAGCTCGGCTTCCCTGATCCCCTCCCCATGTCACCCCCCTAGTGGCCCTGCTGGGGGCCCGCGGGGCCGAAGAGCTGCTGTGCTTCACAGAAAGGTTGGAGGATTTGGTGTGTTTCTGGGAGGAAGCGGCAAGTGTCGGGGTGGGTCCAGACAACTACAGTTTCGCCTACCAACTTGAGTGAGTCCCTTATGGGTGGAGGGGGCAGGCGGGGTGGGCAGCAGTCCCGGATGGAGGTCACAGCCGGGGGCCGGACAGCACTTCACTTAGTGGTGGAGTTCACGGGGCTGGGACACTCCTGCAATTACCGTTGGAATGCGACCCCAAACATCCGGGCTGGGACAAGACCCTCCACATTAAGGAGTCACTCACGCCACGCGTGACCGCTTCTTTTGGGAGCAGTTGGAATGAGGTCTCGTTTCGTTGATCTAGAGACCACTGTCAGGGATCCCGTGTCCCGTGGCGCTGAGATGATCTCTCATCCTCATCAGGGCTGACACGTCCCTCACTCCGGGCGCTGAGACGCCTCCGGTGGTAGTACCCGAAATGCCCCACGATCCAGGCAATTCCGCCTCCCTAACTTGCTCGCTTTCCTCCTGCGTCGCTCGGCGAACAGGGGTGAGCCATGGAAGGTGTGCCGTCTGCGCCAGGCGCTCACGGTCAGCGGCGCGATGCGCTTCTGGTGCTCGCTACCGACTGCCGACACTTCGAGCTTCGTGCCCCTAGAGCTGCGGGTCACCGCAGCCTCCTCAGACACTCTGCGCTACCACCGCATCATCCAAGTCAACGAAGTGGGTACGTGCGCTGGGAGTGTCGGTGATGGTCACGGGAGGGGCGTCTCAGTCCCCGCCCACCTAACCATTCTCTCCCGCAGTGTTCCTGGACCCTCCAGCAGGTCTGCGGGCGCAGCAGGCGGAGGAGGGCGGCCACGTGGTGCTACGCTGGCTTCCCCCACCGGGGGCGCCCATGACAAGCCACATCCGCTACGAGGTAGACGTCTCGGCTGGCAGCGGCCCGGGGGGCGCTCAGAGGGTGAGGCCCGCTCAGCAATATCCCTTCCATACCGGAATCACCTTGGCCTTCCAAGTCTCGTCCCTGACGCTCTACATTCCATGGTTCTGACGTCCAAGACGCCCTCACGTCCCACTGTCGTGCTTCCTTTCCCATTGCCTCCCAACCCCCGTCTGAGTCCTCTCGGCCCTCAACCCCATTTTTCGCCTAGTGCCAATCCCAAAGTCATTTAGGGTCCGGACCCCAGTACAAGCTAGCCAGCCTTCGAGCAGCCCAGGTACCGCCCTCTGCTCACATTGGCTCCTCTGTACTGTTTGGAATCTGCCCACTTCTCCCCCAGATTCATTCTGTCCAACCAGGGCCCTCCCTCAGGTGCCCCATCTGATGGCCCCGCCCCACGGGCCCGCCTCTCACTCGGGCTCCTTTCCCCAGGTGGAGATACTGCAAGGCCGCACGGAGTGCATGCTGAGCAACCTGCGAGGTCAGACTCGTTACAGCTTTGCTGTACGCGCCCGGATGGCAGAGCCGAGCTTTGGCGGCTTCTGGAGCGCCTGGTCGGAGTCCGTCTCGCTGCGAACGGCTAGCGGTGAGGCTCACATCGGGGGTGTGGGAGACCAGGGCTGAGGACCAGGTAAGCCCACCGCCCTGACCTCTTCTCTGCCCTCAGACCTGGATCCCCTCATCCTGACGCTCTCCCTCATCCTGGTCCTCATCCTGCTGCTGCTGGCCATGCTAGCCTTGCTCTCCCACCGCCGGTGAGCCCCCATTCGGGTACTCCTCCATACCAGCTATCCCTTTGGCTCTTTAACTCTCGCAGGTCAGCATCTCAGGGCAGCCTGAGATGGGGCCCCGGAACACCTTTCGCTGTTGAAGTCAAGGCTCAGAGAGGCGCCCAAGCCAAACCAGACCCAAATGTAGTTAAAATTATCTGCTCTTGGGTGACATCCTTTAGTTTTCCTTCTATCTCAGTTGCCGCCCCTTCCTGAATTTCTTTGCTGGTTCTATTTTCCAGTGTCATTAACTCTTGTAAACTCTACCAGAAGGACATGGAAAGATTTAAGCTCCTGGGTGCCACCTCACCTGTTGCCAAGCTCCCCAGTGAGGCAGGCCTTTGATATGTTTTATGATCCATTCTAAGACATATGTAACTCCAAAACCACACCAAGTGGTCTCACACCAGCTTGATTGAGCAAATGCTGATCCTTTTGCCTGGAATATCCTTCCTGTCTTGTCTACCAAGCAATCTCCTAGTTGTCTTTCAATGGACAACTGTTCATTTTCTTCGTTGGCAAATGCCTTAATCTTGTGGATTTCATTATGTAGTCAAGAGACAGATGACAAACAGAACCAAGGAGGGGCAGGGGATTACGGTAGTAAGGGGAGGTCTCTGGGAGGAGTGACATCCCAGGGATGAACTTGTAACATCAAAGCAGCTATAAAGAGCCATGTGGTTGGAGTCAAGTGCATGAGTGTGGGGTGAAGGATCATGTGAGGGAAGGGACAGTGGTCAGATCATCAGGGCCTTTTGCAGGGCTATGGGAAGGAGTTTAGATTTTATCTGGAATGTTTTGGGGAACCATGGAAAGGACTGACGAGGGTAGTAACTAAATGAATCTCTAAACAATGCCTGAGCTAGGTTTAGAGGGAGTATGTGTCAGTTTATTAGGGAGTTTCAAAAATGTGTGTGGGGGTGGGTGGGGGGGAAATCCATTATATTTTCACTCTATTTTTCCATGAACTTTTTGAAGCACCCTCATATATTGAACTCCTATGCATCCTTCAAAACCCTGCTCCAGCCACCCTTCTACAGAGTTCTTCTGATATTCTAGCCAAAGCCCTTGTTCCCATTCAGGTCTCCCCAAGCCTCAGAGTATCCCTCTGCCCCCATCCTGATTACCAGGGTCCCTGTGACTGGGCACTGAGGGGCTACTAGTGCGTGTCCAATGACTTGTGCTATATACCCCATTTTACTTGGCTTCCCCAGGGCTCTGAAGCAGAAAATCTGGCCAGGTATCCCAAGCCCTGAGAGCGAGTTTGAAGGCCTCTTCACTACTCACAAGGGTAACTTCCAGGTAGGTGGCTCAGGTGTCTTTTCAGGGCTTGAGGCTTTTGGCTAAACTGCAGGCCTCTGAGTAGACGGGTGCTGTTCCTACAGCTTTGGCTATACCAGAATGACGACTGCCTATGGTGGAGCCCCTGTACCCCATTGGTGGAGGATCCGCCCGCCCCCCTGGAAGTCCTCTCGGAACGCTGCTGGGGGGTAACACAGGCAGTGGAACCAGGTGCAGAAGATGAGGGGCCCCTTCTGGAACCAGTGGGCAGTGAGCAGGCCCGGGCCACATACCTGGTACTGGATAAGTGGTTACGGCCCCAGAGCCTGCCCAGTGAAGACCTCTCAGGGCCTGGTGGCAGTGTGGACACAGCAGCCATGGACGAGGGTTCAGAAGTTTCCTCCTGCTCATCTGCCTCCATCCTAAATGCTAGGCCAGAGGGGGCCTCAGCGGCTAGCTTTGAGTACACCATCCTGGATCCCAGCTCCCAGGTCTTACACCCACGGGCTGTACCCCTTAGATTGCCTCCCACCCCACCCCACCTTAAGTACCTCTACCTTGTGGTGTCTGACTCAGGCATCTCAACTGACTACAGCTCTGGAGGCTCCCAGGGAACCCCAGGGGGTTCATCCAATGGCCCCTACTCTAACCCTTATGAGAACAGCCTTGTCCCAGCCCCTGACCCTCCACCCCCCAGCTATGTGGCCTGCTCCTAGGATCACAGCTACTTGGGGTGGCTCAGCACCCAAGTGCCAGTCCAGAGCCAAGACTTGTCCGGGGACATCCTCAGTGCTGGGAACCTTGCTGACAGCATCTTTCTGCTCTGGCTCAGGAAGTCAGAGTTGACCAGTAATTTTAGAAGTATATATATCTTTTCTATCATGCCTTTTCCAAACATCCATCCTTCTCTGGGCTCAGGCCCCAATAAAAGTCCTAAATTTAGTCTGAAATTCTGTTCCTGGCTGCCTGAAGAACAATCATAATAAAATGAATTTGTCACTAAAAATTATACAAGCTGTCCTAACAAACAACTTCAAATCTCAGTGGCTTTGTACACTAAGTAGTTTCTCTCATCTGTCCATTCAGACAGGTGGGCTGCCATCCCGGGGTGGAGTCAGAGGCCTGGGCACTTCTGTGGTTGGATCTCTTTGGGTCTTTAGATGGGTCCTCTGCATCCTTTCAGGCATGTCAGGAAATGCTTCAGAAGATTCCATGGGCCATTTTAAGGAGCTGGCCTGGAAGTGGTCTATCTCTTTTCACATTCCTTTAAACAAAGTCACATGATGCCAGCTAGACACATGGGAAGCTGGGAAATGTAGTCCAGTTGTGTGCCCTGATTCAGAAAAGATTTTTAGTGAGTTGGAGTCCTGGTGTGGTCCTGTAGGATACACACTGGACCACAAGGTAGGTTTGAACCAAAAGGTCTGTGGTTCAAGTCCACCAGTCTGAATGGTAAACCCTATACAGAGTAAACCCTATACAGAGTAGCTATGATTTAGAACCAACTCAATGGCACTTAACAATAAGCAAGTCTTTAAGGAGTCCTGGTGGTACAGTGGGATAAGCACTGGACTGCTAGTGGCAAGGTCAAGTTAAAACCGATCAGCCACTCTTTGGGAGAAAGATGAGGCTGTCTGTTCCTGTAAATATTTATAATCTAGGAAATACATTTCCCATGGAGCAATTTTTCTCTTGTGTGGTGCTGTGGGCTAATGCGCCAGACTGCAAAGCCATTTGAACTGCAAGGTTGGTGGTTCAAGCTCACCAGCTGCTCCTCAAAAACCCTATACAGGGTCACTATGGGTCAGAACAGACTCGACAGCCCTTCACAACAACACAGGGCAGCTATGGGTGGAAATCGATTTGATGACAGTGAGTTTGGGTTTAGCCTTTGCCACAAATAGTAACAATAATAATTCACTGGGTCTTATTCTTCTGAAAACATTCTGGTAAGACCAAATGTGGGTAAGGATGTGGCTCAGGGAAGTTCTGGTTTAACCACTTTGAAAACAGTTAGTGTAACCCAGGAAAGCTGGTGGTGCCATAGGATAAACACTGGACTGCTAACTGCAAGGTCAGCAGTTCAAACCCACTAGTCACTCTGGGAAAGATATGAGGCTTCCTGCTCCCATCGGGCTATGCATCAGAATCAACTCAATGGCAGTGAGTTTGGTTTTAAGGAAAGCTAAACATACACTATTTTTTGCTCCAACAATTCCACCTATACCTTAAAAACACACACATGCACCAGGACACGTGCAAGAATGTTCATAGCAGTGAATGAAATTTTAAAATGTGGTTGGATCTCACTAATGATTCTGTGCAGGAAAAGAAGAAAGTTTCAGATTATATTTAGTATGAAACTTTTTATAAAGTTTAAATCTAAACACTATATGGAACTGGGCATAATCTGCACAAGATAATACTTTTTAAAAAAGAGAAAACACTTTACATTCTTTAGGTCTTCAAATATATACAGCACATCCCTGAGATAAGTATCCCAACCCCCATCTTATAAATGAGAAACTGAGGCAAAGAGGTGGTTGTACACCACAGCTCAAGGCTGGACTCCAGAGCTTGTGTCCTTGTCTGAGTTGGGGTCACCCACCTCAGTGAGTAATGGACTGATTGTCATCTCTCCATCTGGCTGGAAAGCCACCAACCATTCTGTCCTGGGGCCCTGTCTGCCTGACTCCAGACAGGCTCGGAGGCAGCGTTGTCCTGGACCAGTGGCAACTGGCCGCAGCCAACAGCAAGCAGTGAAATACCGTTGAAACAGCGTCAGCTGAAGGGTGTTCCCACTGTCTGTTTCTTCTTGGATCTGGAGGGATACCACGAGCCCACAGCCCCCACCAGACACAGCCCTGTGGCTGAAGTAGGCGGCCGTGTCCAGAAGCAAGGCAGCCAGGTAAGCAGCTTCATGGGGGCCCTGGTATTCTGATACATACTCCTCCAAGCAATCTAGCAGCAGGAGGGCGGGGGCTGGCCCCTGGGCCTCATGGACAGAGCACAGGTACCGGAGAAGCTCCCGGGTTGAAGGTGGGTACTGGAAGCGGATCTTCTAGAGGAAGTTAAAGAAAAGGCAGATTCAGCACCAGAGAGACAGGATCCCAATTATGACAGCCCTATTTGTTTGCATACTTGCCAGGATGGGCTTCTCACTGCCTATACCCAGATAACTTGTTCCTGGGTGAGGCATTTAACATAGCTATATATCATCTTCTAAGGAGCTCTGGTAGCGTAGTGGTTACGAATCGGGCTGCTAACCTCAAGGTCGGCAGTTGGAAACTACCAGCCCTTCCGCGGGAGCAAGATGAGGCTTTCTGCTCCCTTAAAAAGTTACAGCCTCAGAAACCCTGTGCAGGGTCACTATGAGTCGGAACCGACTCCACGGTATTTAACAACAATATATCATCTTCTGTTTGCTCCTTTTTCCATATTCATTGCTACCAGCTAACAATTGAGAGCAAGGCATGTCTTTAGCTAAATCTCTAGGGGAAATTTACCACTGAAAATCTGCCCCTAGCTAGGACTAAGGTGCGCCTGACCCAAGCCATGGTATTTTCAATAACCTCATATGGATGCGTAAGCTGGACAGTGAATAAGGAAGACCGTAGAAGAACTGATGCCTTTGAGTTGTGGTGTTGGAGGAGAATACTGAAAGTGCCATGGACTGCCAAAAGAACCAATAGATCTCTTTTGGAAGAAGTGCAACCAGAGTGCTCCTTGGAGGCCAAGATGGCTAAACTTCGTCTCTCATACTTTGGACATATTGTCCGGAGGAAAACAGTCGCTAGAGAAGGATGCCATGCTGGGTAAGATGGAGGGTCGGAGAAAAAGAGGAAGACCCCCAACGAGATGGATTGGCCAGGTGGCATCATTGATGGCGTCAAGTGTGGCAGCGGTAGTGAGGTTGGCCCAGGATCGGACATTGTTTCGTTCTGCTGTGCATGGGGTCGCTATGAGTCGGTTCCGACTCGATGGCACCTGACAACAACAATAACAAGCGCCCCCTAGTCTTGCCCCATTTTTGCTTCCACTTCCATTGGAACCACCTCTCATCTAGACTCCACCCCAGTTTAGTCCCACCCCTTGGCACCGCCTCTCGCTAACATTGAAGGGTTTCTCACTCAATCTCAACTGGGCTCCACCTGTTCCCGCCGCTTTCTCATTCCTCACTCCGTCCAAACACGAATGCGCAAACTCACCGACCTCCGTAATCGCCATTGGTCTGGCTATCTGTTATTCAATCCTCGAACCACCCTTCCATTGGCCAGCCTCTGGTCCCGCCCCACATTACCTGGAGACGCAGGGGGTCGAACGCAGCTCCTGTCCGAAGGGGCAGTCTTTGTAGAGGTTTCCGGGCTAGGAAGAGGACGGGGCCTCGGCCCTCCCCCGCCACCTCCAAGGCAGCCGCGAACAGCAATGCTGTCTTCCCGGAACCTGGGCCGCCGAGCAGCAGCAGAGGTGGCCCGGCCTCGGCTGCGTTCTCTTCCCCTAGCCGAGCCGCGCTACCCGCGTTTAGCACTCGCCTCAGTGTCTCCGCCATTCGTAACGTGCTTTTGTCCAATCGTCCGCCCGTTCCTGGCTTAATCCTGCCTAGGCCGAGGCCTCATTGGTTACAGCACATTTGGCGTCTCCGTTGGTCTGTTCGGCTGCCCATCAAATTAGATCAGCCTTTGCCTATCCCGTTTTCCAAGGGCAAATAAGCTAGTGAGAGGGAAGCGGAATGGCGTCATTTAGGAGAGATCAGATGCTGAGGAAAAAGCAAGGATACAATTATGAGCTAATCAATTGGTCACACACACAGAAGGATTCAGAGTTGTTGGGAGCAAATCCAACTCACAGACATTTCCTGAAGTATCCTAGCCTCTGTTTGTTCACCTGTAAAATGGATTTTATACTATCAAAGAGAAATATTGTGATGAGGACAGCCTTTGTGATTCTGAAGCTGTAACCCAATGACCACTGAGGTGGGGAGAGGGATGTTTTTGTTGTTGTCAGGTGCCCTCGAGTCGGTACGGACCCATAGCGACCATATATGCACAGCAGAATGAAACACTG